TACACCTGGTGCTGGGACACATCAGCCCTGTCTCCGGTATCTATTCCAGATTTCTGACAGCCACCATGGTTGGCCTTCGGTTTAGTTCAATTCTGTCTTCTTTTAGTCCAACTGAATCTGGCTGGAATTTTTAAATCTATATTACAAAACTAGAGGCCCAGTGCATGAAATTTGTACACTCAGGGAGCGGGGCGGGGTGTGGGGGGGTGTCCCTCAGCCTGGATTGCGAGAGGGTGCAGGCCAGGCCGATGGACCTCACAAGGGCACAATTGGGGTGGGGAGGGATGCGGGAGGTTGGCCTGTCAGGGAGAGACCACGGGAGGGCTCCAGGGCTTGTTCAGTCCGTCTCACTCAGTCCCAATTGGCCGGACCCCAGCAGCAAGCTACCCTACCGGTCAGAGCGTCTGCCCCTGGTGGTCAGTGCACGTCACAGTGAGCGGTTGAGCGGCCTTAGCATATCATTAGCGTATTATGATTTGATTGGTTGAATGGACGACTGGATGACGGGACACTTAGCATATTAGGCTAAGGAGAAAACAACAAAGCTACACTCTCAGTGCCTTGACTCATGACTCCAACATCCTAGTAGTTGAACCACAGACGATTTCTCTTGCTTTCTGGGTCACTCTGGCCCCTAGAACCGTGGTCGGCAACCCGCGGCTCGCAAGCCACATGGGCTCTTTGGCCCCTTGAGTGTGGGTCTTCCACAAAATACCGCCATACTCAAGGGGCCGAAGAGCCGCATGTGGCTCGCGAGCTGCGGTTTGCCGAGCCGCAAGTTTGCTGACCTCTGTCCTACAAGAAGAGGTCCTGCTCATCCTCGGTCCCTTTCTCCCTGCCTCTTAAATCCCTTGCCTGAAGCACACCTATTGGCTGAGGTTTAAGCTCAAGTTTCTTCCTCACTCGGATTCCCTTAGAGAAGGCGCTGTGCTCCCTGGCACCTCACTGTCTCCTGCTGGGTCCTCCTATACCCTGAAGTGGATTCCTCATCTCTGCTAGTTGTTCCTTCTGCCGGGAATACATCCCCTTCTTTTTTTACTGATCTTCTTTCTAATTATCCTCTGAATCCAGTTCAGATGTCACCTCCTCCAAGAAGCTCCTCCAATCCCATATCTGTCTTGGGTGCCTTTCCTCTGTGTTGGGTGACTTTTTTAGCTCTTAAAACACTATGCTGAAATTGCCTCTTTACTTATATGTCTCCCCCTCTGGGCTCTGAGCTCTAAGAACCTATGTCTTTTTTTTATATATATATGTTTTATTGATTTTTTTTTTACAGAGAGGAAGAGAGCGGGATAGAGAGTTAGAAACATTGATGAGAGAGAAACATCAATTCAGCTGCTTCCTGCACACTCCCTACTGGGGATTTGCCCGCAACCAAGGTACATGCCCTTGACCGGAATCGAACCTGGGACCCTTCAGTCCGCAGGCCAACACTCTATCCACTGAGCCGAACAGGTTAGGGCGAACCTATGTCTTATTCACTGGTATGTCCCAGCGCCTAACAGTGCTTGTCATGTAGGTGCTTAATGAGTGTTTACTGAATGTATTAATCAGTCCATGATTAAATCCCTTCTGGTTTGAAATCTAACCTACTACCCATCCTGCTATAGAAGGATGGTTCTGTCTCCATGGTCATGTGTGGGGCAGAATGACTCTTATCCCCTGACCTTAGTGGATGAGTAAGTGAAGGTCACCCAGCCACCTACCCTTCAATGGACTCACTCTTCATGAATTCCCAGAAATCTGGCTTCCTATTCCTATAAGATTTTTCAATATTAAAAAATACTGTAGATGGACAATGCATTAGTCACAACAAACTGGTTTATTTGGGTGTAGCGACCCCCAGTCTCAGTGGTTTAAGGCATGGAAGATGTATTTCTCACACCATGCATGCATATGGTTGAGCTGGGGGTTCTGCTTTGCATTGCCATCTCTCAAGGACCCAAGCATGGTTCTATGAAGTCCTGTAGTTAAAAAAAAAAAAAGTTAAAATCTGTTTACATTTGCTTAACCTTCCATTTCCCAAATTATTTAACCACACAACCCTTTTTCTTATGTAACACCTATTTCTATCCTATGGGCCTCATGCTCAAAAAATACCAGTCTAAAGTGATTATAGCATAACAAACCTTTGTGGCACATCTTATAGCCGATAAAATATGGGTAAAGCAGTCTCTGCTCACATTTGTCGATTTTTAAAATGAGTTCAACAAATATCTGTGGAGTTCTTACTTTGTGCCAAGTGCTCAGCCAGGTACAGGACTTACTGAAATATATATGTTCTTTGCTGTCATCAAGCTTCCCTTCCAATGGGGAAGACAGACTAAACCAAAAACAGCACTGTGCATACAAAGTAAATGTATTCTAAAGTGCTATGGAAGAAAGGCTATGAGAGTGCATAATAGGGTGACCTTACCTAGTCATGTCAGACTGTCCTGAAGAAGTTAATCTGCTATTTGCAAGATGAGCAGTTAGGCAAAGTGGGGATGGAGAGTAATGGTTGTAGGCAGAGATAGGAAGTGTACCAGGCAGAGAAAACAGCATGTGCTAAGGGCCCGAGGCAGGGACAGAGGGGTCATAAAGTTGGAATACATTGAAAAGGGGGCAGTGAACAAAAGACCATAATATGCAGGCCTCAGGGGTCAAGTTGTCATTTTGAGTTTTATTAGAAGAGCAGTGGGAGCCAGTGGGTGGAGCATAGAAAATGCAGACACAGTCAGCTAATTAATTATATGGCTTTTTATAATAAGATATTTAATTGGAATGGCACTCTATGCTCTACAAAATACTTTCATGTCATCATCCTATGTCTTCCTTGCAGCAACTCTCTGAGGGAATGAGTTCAAGTATTAGAACAGAGGGGGAATCTGAGGCTCAGAGAGGTAAGTGATTTGCCCAAGGACACACAGGGACCTCGCTGGAGAGCAGGCATCCACACCCTGGTCATCTCACTTCCTGGGCCAGTCCTGCAGAGAAAGCCCTGGCCTGCATGAGTCGGTCCTGAGTCTATGTCCTTACTGGCAAGGAGGCCCTTCATTGAAGGACTGTGTGGAATGGTGAGGTGCTCAGACTTAGTTCGGGTCCCAGCTCAGCAACCGCTTACTAGCTAGATGATCTCTAGCAAGTTATTTAACCTCTCTAACTGTCACAATCCTTATCTGTAAAATAGGGATAGTCATATGAACCTCCTAGGATTGCTATAGAGATCAAGTGAGGCAATTCAGATGGAAGTATCTGACACACAGTAGCAGGAGCTTAACAAATATCAGTTTGATTTTTTTAGAGAGATAACTAACTCTTTCTTTTATTTTGGAATTTTGGAATATACTGAAGGTGAAAGTTAAATGAGGCTCAAATCCCTTCATATCAGAGTTCATTATATGAGAAATGGGTGGAGTCCTGGTGTGATATGCAGATGTTCAAGATGGTGCAGAGGAGGAGCAAGTGCTGGGTCCCTTCTCAGTAACAATGCTGATGCTCAAAGTAAAGTCTTCACAGCTGACACGTCTACCTTCCAGATTGTGTGGGGGAGTTCTGCAGGTGATAACTTCCCTGGGAGCTGCGCACAGGGGAGTGATTGTCCAGGTGTTCTCCCAGGTGGATATTATACGGTGGCCTTGAGAAACACATTCAAGGAGCTGTTGGGGTAAAGGCCCTGGAGAAGCAGCATTTAATGGTTTCAGAAGCCTGAGAAACATCAGTTGAAAGGCTTTTCCAGTGTCAGTGGGGGTTTTAGGGTGAAAGACAGAGGCTTGGAGCACAGGGACTATCTGTGAGTCATAGGACTCACTGGGTATCCCTGACCACTTGTGGGGCTTTTTAAAAAATATATATATTTTATTGATTTTTTACAGAGAGGAAGGGAGAGGGATAGAGAGTTAGAAACATCGATGAGCTGCCTCCTGCACACTCCTTACTGGGGATGTGCCCGCAACCAAGGTACATGCCCTTGACCGGAATCAAACCCGGGACCCTTGAGTCCACAGGCCGACGCTCTATCCACTGAGCCAAACCGGTCAGGGTGCACTTGTGGGGCTTTTAATCTTCGAGGGACCCGCCCTCCTCCCTGGGGCATGATGTCCTACTCTGAGAACTGTATATGGAAAGGACGGGCCTTGAGTTTTTCTAGCTTTGCTCTTGAAGATGGGTCTGCTAGAAAGGGCTGGTAGGTTAAGTGCGGTCTCAGGGAAAGGTCTAATCAGTGACTCCCAACTGTTTTTACCCTGATTTACAGGGTAATAAATAAGAAATAAATTTTGCATAGTGACCCAGCACACAGAGCGCGCGCACACACACACACACACACACACACACACACGGTTCTTGTAAGTACAATACGTACACTTATATATGTGATGCATCTTGGTACTTTATTTTCTATTTTATTCTATTTCATTAAATTGATTTCATGACCTGCTAATGGATTGCAACCTGCACTTTGAGAAACATTGGTCTAATAGATGATGACTTGTTTTTGAAGGTGATTGAGGTAGATGTTGTTCATGAATAATGAAATTCAGATGAGCAATGCAAAAGGCTGCACAGACTGTATACTTTAAATGCTCATAGCAAATCTAGAATCTAGTTTTGTGTCACCCCTAAATATAGAGGTTGGAGGTAGTAAAAACAATAACAGTAAGAAAAATAACAACAGCATTTACCGAGGAACTGCTGAGTGCTGAGAACTGGGCTAGGTACTTGAGTGGGATAAAAATACAAATAGTAAATATTCCCTGCCCTTAAAAGAGTTCATAACCTAGTGGAAAAGGTGACCAGGATCATAAACACAGACTATAAGGGTATTTCAGGTCAATGTGGCAGACTGAGGAGGTGTAGGAAGATGTCTTTCACTAGAAATATAAACTTTATAATTATGTATGATAGATTTAAAATATATAAATTTAACAATTGAAAAGTATATAACCACATTCTAAAGCAATAAATGGAAGTCCCTAAGTGCCAGGAATGAAAATAAAACTCGGATCCAAAATGCCCAGTGGGTGCTGGCTTTGGCAGCTCATATACTAAAATTGGAAGGATACAGAGAAGATTAGCATGGCCCCTGCACTAGAACCTCATGCAAATTCGTGAGGCATTCCATATTTTTATAAATGTTGATGGAAGGAGACTGGACTTTGGGTGGTGAACACACAATACAATATATAAATAATGTATTATAGAATTGTACACTTGAAACCTATACAATTTTATTAACCAATGTAACCCCAATAAATTTTATTAAAATTTTTTTTAAAAACCAAAATGACCAGTGGGGGCTCACAAAGTGATCCATTCAGATGCCTGCTCTTGGGAGTAGGAAATTTGAACTAAGAGAGCCAGAGACTGGGATGCAAGTAGAGACACATTGATGGCAATATGAAGGAGAAGGCCAATCGGCTTCAGCTTCTAGGGATACAGAGCTGCCTTGGCTTTTGCCCTTTCCAAGCCTGGATGTGAGAGACTCCTGGGTCTTCTCAGTAAACATCTCTGTGCTTCAGCTAGCTCAGGCTGCTTTCTGCCATTTGTAGCATTATTAGCACGGCTCGACTAAAGAAGGGATCTCCTTTTCATTGGGAAGAGTCGTCTCCTAGCAATTCATACAAGTGCCAGCTTAGAAGCTCTGGTTCATTGTGGCCTAAGGGCTCCACTATGGTGCAGGTCAATCCATTCCAGAACAGGTACTGTGTCTGCCTGGCATGCATTGAGTAGGATGGTCTTGTCTCATCCCAGGAGCAGTAGCTGGAAGGCTCTGACCTAGGTTTTCCCTGCCCAGCAGGCAGCTCATCCTTCCATTTACAACAGAGGCATCAGGTGCACCAAAGTGTTCCATTAACAGTGCCAGGCAACCAGTAAACTACTCCAGGATCTAAAATGTGTTGAAAGAACTAAGCAGGGAATCAGGGCAAGAAGCAATAATGTCTTATATTGTGCATCCTGGAGCTGAATCAGAGGTCAGGTTTCTCTGAAGACACTGGCTTGATTCTGTGGAGTGGTATTCCTTGTAGACTGTGGGTGTACATGATCCTGCCTTCTATCTGTATTCTCCATGTACATGAGTTACCTCTTCCTGTGGGTTGTATTCTCAGAGACCATAGATATATCTGATCTTGTCGATATTTTTCTAGGAACCCATGGCTGAATCCTGTTATATGAAGTGGAGTCCCTTATAGACCATAAGGATACCTGGTTGTGTAGCAAGGTGTCCCTGGGGCCATAGGTATACCAAGGCTGCTGGTTAGTGGCACTGCTTCTGTGTGCATGGTATTACCGGAGACCATAGTCATACCTTGTCTTGACAAGCACAGATTCCCCAGTTTTATCAAAGATATATGGGAACAGCTTCCTTTATTAAAAATAAATGCACTACAGAAGAGTGCTGACTAAAGGTAGAAGGAATTATAGAATTATAAAAGTTCCCATTTTGTAACCACTGTAGTCGCAATTGATTCAGGCAATGAATGCTAAAACCACTGGATACAAGCTGCTTAGACTCTAAGCCTTAGAGAATAGGATATTCTCACCGTCTCAAATCCTGCCCCCACTCCAGACAATGTGTTAATCATATAGGGCAAAGGGTATCTTTATAATCGAGAAACCTGGATGATGCCACCTTAAAATTATCATCACCAATAATTGGAGAAACCGATATCTTGTGCCTCCTGGTACGATGCACTAAGAAGGAAGCGTCACCTATGTGGTATCCCCGCCCGAAATGTTCGGCCTGAATGCAGTCATGAGGAAACAATCAGACAAATCTAAACTGAGGGACATTCTGCTGCCTGGACTTTCCAAAACGACCAAAATCATGAAAAAGAGAAAACAAAAAGTTGGAGAACTATCCTAGAATAAAGGAGATTAGAAAGGTAAAATGCAAATGGAAGGTCTTGGATGGAGGGATAAAAAGGACACTATTGGGACAATTGAGGAGTTTTTAACAGGTACTCAGAGATTAGGCACATATTTAATTTCCTGAAATCCAGATGAATGTCCTTGTTCTTAAGAGATAAATACTGAAGTATTTAGGGGTTAAGTGTCATTTGTGTCAGCAACTAACACACAAGGGTTTCAGAAAGAGAAGGAGAAATCAAATTACAAATTGCTAATCTGTGTCAAGGTACACGAGTGTTTGTTACAACAATGAACTATTCTGTAAGTTTAACATTTAAAAAAAAAACATTTGGAGAAAAGAAGCCATTTTAAATACTCCTAATGAAATACGTAATGGATCTAGTCAATGGTAGTAATGGCTGTTAAAACCATTAAGTGAAAAGCTGATGAAGGGAAAAAAACTGAGAGGGAACTTTATAATGGATCTATCTGGCTGGTAGCTACTGAACCCACTAATTAATCTTAATATTATAAAAAGAAAAAGTGACAAGAAATTGTGTGGTCCTGATGGGATGCAGTCGGAAGTTCACAACATCTATAAAATATGATTGCCCCAAAACATCAAGCCAAAAGCCACACACTCTAGAATCTACCGACTTAAAGGGACAGAAAAACATGTTTACTGATAGCACAGGAGTGCTATCAGCAAGATCCAGAATGAAGGAAATTCCATAGGGCAAGTCACCCATAGTTCCTTCAATAATTAAATTTCAAGAAAAGAAAGTGTAACGTATGGAATAAAAGAAACTTAAGAGCCACAATGACCACATATAGTGCATGGATCTGGATTAGAAACAGATTCAGGGAAATTTGAATACTGAATGGATATTTGATGAGATAAGAAATTATCGTTAATTTTTATTTAGGTGAGATAATGGGATTGCGGTTATGTCGAAAGGGTCTTTAACTTTTAGAAAAGCATATTGAAATATTTATGGGTGAACTGACTCAATGTCTATGATTTGCTTCCAGATAATCCTAGGGGAGGGAGCAGGGGGTATAGATGAAATAAGATCGGCTATGTGTTGATAGTTATTGAAGCAGGGTGATATGTACATGGATTTAAAATCTGTATATGTTTGAACCCGAATAAAGTTGTAACAAATAAGTAAACGCAAGCCACTCCAATATTTTCCCAAGATATTCTCCTGAAAGAGGCTCCTCAGTGCTAGAAAGAATGACTGTCCCCTCACAAGTCGCACAGGTGAGGTCAGAAAGAGAACTCCTACGGAAGGTTGACACCAGGCCAAGGTGGTGCTAATTCTCTCTCAAGCGGAGCACTGCTTACTCTGGGAGGCTCTGTCTTTTGTTTTGTTTTTAAACCACTCTGTTGAGTAGGAAAAACAAAATATTATTTCTGGGCAGCTCGCTGCCCCAATCTAGGTTAAGGAATGGGGTTTGCAAAGGCTAGTGGGTTGGACCCAAGGTGGAGGGAGCAGGTGAAATTAGATGTTTTGGGGGGGGGGGTTTGTGGGGCTGTGTTGAGGTTGAGGTCCAAGATCAGAGGTCAAGGGTGGGGCTGGAGGGAGGAGCACATCACTAAGGGGTGTTCTGTGTAGACCTAGTGAGCTTCTAGAGCAGCCTCTCCTGGCCTTCGTGCCTCCATCCTGGTGCTTCAGGTCCCCTGGGTGGGGTGGCCCATCCTTCCCCACTCCGGTCCTCATGCAGCCCCATCGCCAGGTCCTTCTTTCCCTCTGGTCCACATTTACTGCCTCCCTCCTGGAGCTCCCTCCTCACCTCATTCTTCATTCCCTGTCTCCACCCTATCAGACACCCCGGTTCAGGGTCCAAGAGAAGGACAGCTTTTATGTGGCTTGTAAAATTCTATTATATCTGTATTCAAAACCTAGCAGCTGAGAAACACTGGTAATAGGCGTGTTATTAAGCGTGTAAATACACATCCACTCCAGGGCCTCCAAGGGGCGGGGGCGGATCCTCAGCCCTGTTGTCTCCCCTGCATGTAAGTCCCTGCCCACCTGGCCTCCTCCCCAGACTTGGCCCTTGCGTGGAGGCCCAGGCCTCCTCCAGTCTCCAACCACCGTTGTAGTCCTAGTCCTAGTCCTGTAAAGCCCCGACTCTTGGAGAAAGGGGGTGGGGGGGAAGAGGGCCGAAGAAAAAAAACATTAGGAAAAAAACTCCCACCCAGAGAGCATTCTTTCTGCAGCACTCAGGAAAAAGGATGTCTCACAGGGGACGGGAAGGCGAAATTTTTTCACATCCAAATGGATTGCAATTTCCCTCCATTTAGCACCTGAAGGTAATTAGCTCGAAGAGACTGCCGAGTGCGAAACACGTTCACGGAACATTAACTCTCACACATTCTCCAGTTGCAGGGAATTAATAGGAAAGATTAAAGTTTAAAGAGAGCAAAATGCCATTACCTCGCCAGCCACCTCTCTCCGCGACAGTATCCAGCCCCCGAAAACCTTCGGCCAGTGCTTGGGCCGGGGCCGGGGCTCGGGGCTCAGCCTCTAGCCTGGCTGGCTGGGGCATCTGGGTGTGCCCCATGCAAAGTACTAGCATGTGCTGATGTGCACACACGTGTGCAAAATAGGGTGGCTCTGACCCTTCCCAAGGCCAGGGCAGCCCCTTCCCATCACCGTGAAGTTTGGGGTGAACAGGGACAGATGTGTTCTCTTTCAGGTTTACGCCTGGCATTGTTGGATGTCCAGGTCCTGGGGGGCGGGCTGTGCTGGGAAGGGTCATCAGCGTGGATGTGCCCTGTGATTTTGGTGTAGAGGGCGAGGTCCGCCAAATGGCCAGCAATGGAGCGGTGAAGGGTGTCACTCCCACCTTGGTGTGTATAGAAGCACTGGGATGAGGTGACAGAGGGAGTTGCCGCCACTCTTATAAGTCAGACACAACCCACACACATACGTGTGCACACACATGCAGTCTCCCATTGTCACACACAGATGGCCTTTGTCACTGCTTTTCTCAAAGTTTATGTAGGCTTCAAATTCTAAAGGTTTCTGTGTTGCTTCAGTATTTTAGGAAAAGATGAGAGACAGAGAGACGGAGACAGAGAGAGAGAGAGAAAGTGGGGGGGGGGGAGAGTGAGGGAGAGAGAGAGGGGCAGAGGCAGGCAGGAGAGAGAGAGCGCGAGATGAAATTGAGACATGGAAGAATTTATTGCCCAGAAAATTCCATTCTGCTATCTGATTCAAAAAGTCCAGTCCCCCCAGCTTCGGAAAATCTATTTTCCACATTTTAATACCCTGCAGAACAGTCCTCATAACTCATCCGAGTGTGTTAAGCACAGTTTTATTAGATCTGAAACAAATTTTGGTGGGGAGATACTATAGGTCATTAACCATGGAGTAATTTTATCCTTGTTTCCCTAATGATGCCATAATGGCGAGCGAATTTCTTAACTAAAGACCAAAGAACATTTTGAAGGTCAGTTTCATCTGTGAGCTCCTTCAAGCGCTTCTCAGAGAAGATTGGAAAACTCGCCGATTTTTTGAAGAGTCATTAATAATGTGAAAGCTGAAAGCACCCTCCATTTGCGTTCCTGCTTTTTACCTTTTAATTTTATATCGTCCCCGCTCAGAGCCCCGCTCCCACTCCTTCACCCTCCTCTGGACCTCCCTCCCACCAACCCACCCGCGCTCAGAACACGGCTGCCCAGCACCAGGGACCAGGCCGGCTGCGAGGGGGCAGGCGGGGCTGCAGTGGGGGAGGCAGAAGAGCTGGAGGGGCCAGAGACACCCCACGGAGATGGGGGCCCTTGCTATATTCCCAGAGAGGGTAGGCTGTGTGAGGGTGCTGTTCTAGGCCCGGTGTACATGTGCATGTGCGTGCACATATGCAGTGTAGGGGACTGAGGTGTGTACTGGCTATACAGACACATGCTGGGGACCAATGGGGACTTCGTCTCTATAGGTGGGTCCCCCTATTGAAGGTAGGCTGGGAAAGGTGTCTGAAAACCAGCACAGGATCAGTCCAGTGGCCTGGGCAGTGGGTCTATTGGTAGGGGGGGCGGCTCCTAACAAGGGTGGACATACATGGAGTGCTTGAGACGATTTATAGCATGTGTTCATGCACACACATGTATGTCCTGGGAACGCTGAGGCCATCAAGGCAAGAGCCCAAGGCCCCTTCCCACCAGTAAATATCTAGACACTAGAGACAGGGATCATTCTCTGGCCAGCCCTCACTCCTTCATCCGCTCGTCCCCTTGTTCCCCAGGTCTGGAACCCCTCACCCACTCATTGTATTCACCTCCTGATCCCCAATCTCTGGCTCCTTGGATCCCCCTAGTTCCATCCTCCCCCCTCAACCCCCGTCACCGACCTCCTCACCCACCCGAGGGCCATCACTATGGGTGCCCAGCCGGGAGCCAAGGTGGGGCGGCACTTCCGTGTGTGCGGGTTTGGGAGGAGGGGGCGGCGTGGCGACACTCCACGCTCCCAGATGTGGTGGCAGCGATAATTCCAATTTTATGCCTTTGTTATGGCTTTAATCACTTTCTTTATGCGTTTTGTTCCAGCGATCAGGGAGAGACACCTGATAGGCAAAGAGGATACCAGGGGAACCATTTTTATTTGGAATGTGGTGAGAAGTCTAATTAGAATCTGAATTCTGCTGAGCCTTGAAATGGCCAGCACTTTATCCTGATCGCCTTAGATATTGTTTCGAGTCAATCATCTGTCATGGGCGGCAGGAGAGCCGCTCCCTCCACACCACCCTCCCTCCTGCTGCAGACCCGGCCTGGGCACACTGCCGGAAGGGGGGTGCCTCCTCCGGGGGGGGGGGGGGAGGGTGCTGTTTTGTATGGCCCACCCTTCCTTGAAAGGCCCCTCTTTGCTGGGATGCTGAACTGAACTCGTAGAAGGAAGGGGCTGCAGGAAGAGGGAGCTGAGGGGACTGTATTAGAATTGGGGAATATTGGGGTGATGCCAAGCTAGTCTGGGGCACCTCCTAAGAGCTCCCAGCACTTTGACCACCCCACCACCTTTCTGTCAATGGCCACAGGGACTCTCATTTCTTTATATCCCCCAGACAAATTGTCTCTCCTACCTGCGAACTGTACCTCAAACTCCCCACTCCCATTGCTGGCCCCGCATTTGCCACCCACTCAGCTCTATTTCTCTGATTTGCTTTCACTCCAGTCTGGCCGCTGGAATGTTGTTCCTATTTGTTCTTCCTGTTTAGGACTCCTGCCGTCTGTCAAGTCCCCAGACTGGTTCTGCCTCCTCCAGGAAGCCTTCCCTGATTGCCCGAACCCACAGTGAGTGAGCCCCCTGAGTGTTGGACAGTTACAACATGGGTCCCATCCTGTGGTGGCCATGCCAACTGTAGGCACTCACTCCAAACAGATTCCTGGCCCATTTATCTTTCTCCTGCCTTTAAATAGTTTCCAATTGTCACCTCTCTTTTTCTTTAACTGTGTGTGTGTGTGTGTCCTGAATCCTCTCAAATCCCCTTTGAACATGGCTAAATGAAAAGTAGAAATAAATATTCCTCTTCATAACAATTCATCTCCCCAGCCATGAGCTCCCCAAAGTCTGCCCATTTCCTCCCGTCTCCTGCCTCTTCCACCAATTCTGACCACAATCCTAGGACCAGGCGCCCAGTGGGAGCTGCACTATCACCCCCAGCGTCACAGGTTGCACTGAAGCTTTCTGCCTCCTGCTTCCCCTCACCCCCAGGACATACCATTGTGGGGGGAGGGGGGACAGTTAGTGTCCAACGTAAGTCCTGTTTCTAGGAGGGAAGAGCAGACTGTGCTCTATGACCACCTCCGTGGCAGACGGCCTAGACCAGGGGTGGGCAAACTTTTTGACTCGAGGGCCACAATGGGTTCTTAAACTGGACCGGAGGGCCGGAACAAAAGCATGGATGGAGTGTTTGTGTGAACTAATATAAATTCAAAGTAAACATCATTACATAAAAGGGTACGGTCTTTTTTTTTCAGTTTTATTCATTTCAAACGGGCAGATCCGGCCCGCGGGCCATAGTTTGCCCACGGCTGGCCTAGAAGGTTGGTGACTCCTTGGAGGCCAGAGATCCACATATGGTGAATGTGAGTACTTTTTAGATGTTTGGAGTACTCAACCCTCTGGCCAGTAAGTACACCCCCATAAAGCAGTGCCCTCACTGATGGTCAGTGTCCCCATGAGCCTCCTGAATAGTCACTACCCTCTAGGGATTATCTGTGTAGTGGGGGTGCTTTGTGGATGGTCCAAGGGGCAGTATAGTCAGACACCCCTATAGAGAGGCACAGAGGGCCCCCAGAATACCCTCCCCACCCACTCACCTCCCCATCCCCATCTGGACCCAACTTTGAATGCACCCCTGGCTCATTTGCTCCTGATGGTCTCTTTCCCTGCTTGCACCTCAGTTCTCCCCAGGCCCTGTGCTCTGGGTGGACAGAGGGGAGGGCACCAACCATGGTCGGCAAATCACGGGGCTGTGGTTGGGAACTGGGGGTGGTTCTCTAGAGTGCCCTGCCAGGGCACTAGTCCTTTCTCCCTCCCAGCAGCCCTCACCAGAAGGCATGGCTGTGTTGGCACCACACTGATGGTGGAGAGTGAAGAGACGCAGGGAGATGGGAGGAAGGGAATTCATTAATGGTGAGGAGGGGTGTTTATAGGGGAAGGCAAGACAGTGGACTTAGGAGCAAGCTTCCTAACGGGAAATTGCAATCTGCCATTAACATCTAGGTGTAAATTAATATATCAGATGGTGTGTGTGTGTGTGTGTGTGTGTGTGTGTGTGTGTGATGGAGGGTCAGTAGGTCAGAGTCTCAGGCCCCCGTCCAGAGGAAGCAGGACCCTGGCTCACTTGGTCTGCCCATGCCGAAGGGTGGGAGTGTGAGCGAGGGTGGCTCATTCTCCAGCTGCTGTTCTCCCATCTACAGAGGAGTGGGGGCTGGGGGAGGCTCGGGCTCCCAGCCCAGGGAGCACATGTGCTGGGTGGGGGTAGAGAGGGGGAGGACAGAGATGCCAAAGCTGGTAAAGGCCTGGCCTCTTCCCATCTCAGACACCCTCGAGGCACTGTCCTCTCTACATCCAGAGCTTGGCTGCAGCGGGGTAGATGAAAAGGAGGAGAAACTGTTGGATAAAAAGAAATTTGAAAAAAAAAAAGTAAGTGAAATATTCAAACTGGAAAGTGATATTATAGAAACTGCAGCCCACGGCTCAGTGCATTCAAATTTATTCAAACTCGGCGCCTGACAGTGATGGATGCGGCAGCTTTTCCCACAATATGGAGAAGGCGCGGGGGCATTTAGGACTGCGGGTCCCCTCCGGGAGGGTGGGGGCCCACACCACCTCCCATGCCTTGCTCCTCCTAAACTGGAAGCATAGTTCTGGGTCCTGCTCCCTCTACTCTCCCAAGACCCAGCCACTTCCTGTAGGCCACAGTTCTGGGGTCCTGGGGGATTGGGTCCCACCAGCTCAGATGCTTAGGGGATGGCCCAAGACAGAGGTAGCAGGCTGTGAGCCAGCGTGATCACCAACGCCATGGAAGAGGGTGGCTAACCTGTCCACGGAGGTTAGAGGAAGAACACCGTGGTGTGGTTCAAAGCCAAATAAATAGTGTGAACCCAATGTGCCCCCAAGCACGCTGGGGCCTCAGGGTGCCAAGTCAGGGAACAGTCGGTCTCCTCCCCGGCCAGGGTGGCAGCCACCCCACCCAGGAGAGGGACAGAAGAGAGCCTGTGAGGAAGCCTTGAGTCTGGGGGCTTGGCCCGAGCAGTGAGTAGGTGACAGTGTTCCTGAACGTGTGCCCTGGAGTGTCCCCTGCTCCCAGCCTCCACTCCACCAGCTCTTTTCCAGACAAGGTTGCCCATGGCCTCCTGTCCAACCTCCTGGCCAATAGACCCCCCGTCTGAGTCCAGGCTCCATCCCTTGGAATACTGGCCACTCTGGAAAACTCACTGGTCTCTTGTCTCTCTTGCCCGTTGCACTCGCCTGCTTTGCCCACATCTCTAACGTTCCTTTGTCTCTTTCACGTCCTACCACTTCCCGAGATGTGGCTGCGGTGCAAAACCCAAGCTTCAGCTGGGCCCTCTTCTCTCCTACCGCTTCTCAGAAGACTCATCCGCTCGGCACCTCAGCTAACACCTTCCTGCAGGTGATGGGACCCCTGGCCTCGGATTCCAAGCCTCTGTTCAGATCCAAGTCCACAATCCACACACCACAAGGCTAATATGTTGAAAAGCAAACTCATCTGTCTCTCTTAACGCCAGAAACAATATGTGATTCCCTATTTTGTAAAGAGCCCCATCACCCACCCACATACCCTCATAAAAACTTTGAACCTCTAGCTCTTCACCCAGCCCATCTCTACCTTCAATCAGCTTACAAATTCAGAGATACTTCCTATGTCTTTTGCCCCCACTTTTCCCTCATCATCACCACTCACCCAGGAATGCCCTTATCACAGCTTTCCTGGATCCCTTCAATCCAATCAACAAACCATTACTGAGTGACCACCATACACCGGTCTCCAGGCAAAGCATCTTCCTCCAAGCGGGGCTCTCGGCCTTTAAGTTCTACATCTCCAATTGTTCTATGGCTGCTGCCAGGTTGATGCTCCTAAAACACAGCTCTAATCATGTCACTCGGCTGCTCAGACACCCTCAATGGCTCCCCACTGCCTACTAAATAAAGTACAAACTCCTTACTCTGATGTTCACAGCCCTTTGTGATCTGGCCCCTACCTACCCGTCTCTCAAGTCTTCCCGATACTCTCCTTCACTCATATTTGCCAGCCAAGTTGGACTCTGAGTATTTCCCCGCACACTCCCCGCCCAGCGATTTCCTACCTGCGTGCACTGGTTCATGCTCCTCCTCTTTCTGGAACGGCATCACCCTCCAACATCCCACCTCATCTCTCCCCGTCAATATTCTAATCCTCTGCAAGGCCTGATTCAAGCCAAGCCATAGTCGGACTATTCCCTGTAAAAATGCATAGCGAAGTGCCTGCTGGCTGTCACTGTTGTTATCCCCACCACCACCAGACGCGGTTTCTCTTCTCTGTGGACCTTCTAGTCCTCTCTACAGCTTTCCTGGCTCCTAAAGAGCTTTCCTGATACTGATATCACCAAAACATTTGCTCTAACACTGTCCTGGACTTCTTGAGAGCCAGAACTAAGTCATGTTCACTTGTGTCCCCCTCAGCCCCTAGCCCAGGAGACGCGATAAGCACTTGTTGAATAAATGAATGAGTAACTGCGTGAACAAATGAACCAGTACAGCAAAACTGGCTGGGACACGGCTTTGTGACACAGACTTGGCTCTTCTGAGCCTCCTGTTCTGAATAGTGACCACCTAGCAGTTCCCTGTCATTACTCCTGGCCCTCCTGACATGTGCCCAGGTGAGCTGGGACACACATGTGCAGGCTGTATGACAGGTGTGTCATCCCTAGAGCAAGAGGAGAGTGTGGCAGAGTCCAGCCTTCCCAACTCATCAATCAAAGGGCACTTGCTGACAGGTCCTGAGTGCCGGCTCTGGGCTCTGCTGGGGTTGGGGCTACAGCTGGGGGAGGAGAGTTGCCCTCTGGGGGTTCACGGTCTAGTTGCCCCTTCACTCCTCCTGTGACTCTCAGACCAGTGACTGCAGACAGTGACGGGCATGCCAATGGGTGGAGCCAGCCCCTTCCCCCAAGCTGCCCTGAAATGTTACTTAGTGCAGAAGTAGTACAACTTTTGGTGTAGATCTCACTACCCCATCTGGACTAGAGCTCCCCTGGGAGGACTGTGGCCTTCTGCAGAATTCTCCACTAGAGCCCAGAACCACCTAGCTCAAAGCTGCTGGATGGCTGGGTAGATGGATGCCATGAACAGTTGACAAAATAAAGAGTAAATGAGCAACTAACTAAACACATGATGAACAAAGTGCTGGCAGATTGGCACAAATCACACTAGTTGGCATTTACTGAGCACCTACTAAATGCCAGGCTCTATGCTAAACCCTTCAGCTGAACTGACACATTTAATCTTCCCTTCGGAGTGGGAACTATTATGATCCCATGGAGGAAACTACAGCTCAGGGGAGTGAAATAACGTGAGCGAGAGCACCCAGGTCATCGGTGACAGAACCTTGGTTCCCTGCCCTAAACTCATCACCATCCTTGGTGACCTCCTGGCCAGGGTCATCTCTCCCTCCCCACACCACCAGCCCTTTGGGGGTTGGGGTGATGGAGGTAGATTAAGTGGGGTCCTGGGGAGGAGGTTCACAAACGGGTGGGGAGGGTGGTAAGGCCCCTGTCCCTTCCCGTGCACCGAGGGGGACCTCTGGGCTCTGGATTTGACTTTTTCTTCCCGTCCCCCTTGGGGACAAGGCAGAGTTCAGAAAAGGCACAGCCAGGGAACCTCTGTTTCCCTTCACCCCTCTTCCATCTGAGAGGGGAGTAGCAGCCTCTCCAGGGGGTCCCCACGCTGCGGGGCGCCCCATCCCTCCCGCCCCTGCCCCCTCAGGCGAGTCCCTCAGGGCCTGGCCAGATACAAACAAGCGCGCTAAACTCCGGGAGATTTACAGCGGGCGGCTGGGCGTGCGGGCGGCCGCCGGTGAGATATCTCCAAACAGCGCACTAACCACTTTCCATTTTATACCTCACCAGCTTTATAGCATCTTAAGGATTTCTGTGCACGGCTGGCTTCCCGCCCAGGGAAAAAACCCAGCCTTGTAAATAAATACTAAATATATATGAACAGAGACGACAGCGAGAGAAGGGGAGGGGGTTGCCGCCAGGAGGGGGTGGGGGTAGCAGCCCAGTGCGGGCCACTGATGCGGAGGAGGGGCAGGGACACATGGGGGTGTCCGAGACAAAGGCCACAGGGAAACAGCAGTTGACAGGAAGAGCGAGGGAAACTGAGATCACACAGAGATGGAGGCAGAAACTGCAAGATGGAGGCTGGGTGGAAGGGCTGGCTGCGCACAGAACCGGGCTCGTGTGTGTGTGTGTGTGTGTGTGTGTGTGTGTGTGTGTACGCGCGCGCGCGTGTGTGTGTATGTGTGTGTGTGTGTGTGTGTGTACGCGCGCGTGTGTGTGCATGTGTGTGTGTGTGTGTGTGTGTGTGTGTGTGTGTAGGGAGAACTGGCTTAAACCTTGAGGAGATAGTGTGTGCAGATGCACGCGTGACTATTTGCATGTGTGGGGGTGTGTGACTGGTGTGTCACCACATGCTCCAAGGGGAGAGTTTATGTGTGTGCGTGTGCACACAGATGTGGGTGCAGGTGTGTGTGGCGGGGGGGGGGGGTTGGTGTGGGTAGGACTGTGCCAGGTGAGTATGGGGTGGGCTTGCGGGCAGAAGGTCTGTGGCGTGGTCAGGGTGTGTGCAGAGGTTAGGGTGAGTTGGGGATGAGGAGGCAGGTGAGTTCTGAGAGTGCGTGCAGCTTTGGGATTGAGTTGGGGAGGACTGAGCAAGCCATGTGCGACCATGTGCGATGCATGTGGGGGTGGGAGGGGCCTGGGGGGAGGTGAGGAGTGGGCTCAGGTAAGCCGGGGTGGGCCTTCAATGGAGTATGGGTTGGATCTGAAAGCAAGTGCCCGTTAGTGTGTTGGGGGTCCAACAGGGGTGGGTTTTGAGGTGCTACCAGGTGGTCAAGCCTCCTCCTCTCCACCCCCTCCTTGGGTCTTTCTAGAGGCTCTGAGACCTTCTCTGCAACATCCACTTGGGAGCCGGTCCCCGCTGCTGACTGCAGCCCTCCTGCTACCCAGCCCCAGCTCTGAGGTGTCTGGCCAGGAGCCAGAGTCCAATCGTGGGAGCAGAGGGGCCATGCTCTCCCTTCTCAGGGGACCCAGCGATCCCTTTTTGTTCCCCCCTTGTCTTCGATATTAAGTATTCAAACCTCATTTACATCCTTATTTTTCAATTTGCTGCCACAGTAGTTTAATTTATTCGATATAATTTCTTTTTCTGAGGGGACATTAATCATTGCCCTGTGCTTTTGGGCGCCTGTGGGATCTCCGTGTGTGTATGTGTGTGTGTGCGCGCACGCGCGCGTATGGTATGCGTCTGTGGGGAGGGGGCGCTGTCTGGATCTCTGAGTGTGCATCTGCGTCCGTGTGTGTCTGTGCCCCAGCATGCTGGTGCCTGTGTGTGAGGTGCAAGTTTGTCTGGCATGTGAGGGTGTGTGTGAGGGGGTGGGTCTTTGTGAGAGGGTTTTATGAGTGTGAAAGGGTTGGGGTGGTGAGTAGGAGTGGGCGGGTGGGTGAGTGTGATAGACTGATCCAGTCTTCTTCTTCGGAACCCTGGCCCTTCCCAGAATGTCAACAGGAGGTGAAGGGGCGGGTGGGGCGGGGGGGAGTAATTGGGAGATGGGAGGCCTAGGTCACAGCAACTCTGGGTTTCCTTGAGCTAAACAGCTGGGTTCAAGGACTTCCCCTGATACCCTCAAGGTGGGTCCTTCCATGACCCTGCCAGTTTTTTTCCTGAGAGAACGCCCTGGACAGTTGTAGTTGAAAATATTCCAGAATCCATGGTCTCTCAAGAAAGAGAGAGACCGAGAGAAGTAGAGAAAGACACAGAGGTACAGAGAGAGAGACAGGAGAGCAAGGCAGGCCATGGCAGAGGAAGAAACACGGAGAATGATGGAGAAGAGGAGCAGGGGAGAGACGCGAGCAAGCCGTGAGCAAGCCACAGCGTCTCAGCCCATAAAGTCTCTGGAATGGGAGGAAGGGGCGAGAGAGTCTCTGGCATCAGCTCAGGCTCCGTCATGGCTCAGCGCAGGGTGATGGGGAGGGGGGTACGCGGGGTTAGGGCTGGTTTTCCTCCAGGAGCTGAGATGAGTGAAGTGACTTGGGGGAGGTTTGTTGGAGGGAAGGGACAAGAGGAAGGGGTAAGGAGGAGCGAGGAAGAGAGAAAGGCCCTCTGGGGATATATTGCAGGGAATGACTCCAGGAAAATTTCTGGGGAAGTTCAAGGGAAAGGAGGAAGGAAGCTTCCAGGGCAGCCCTCCCCACTCTCAGTGCATCAGGGCAATCCATGCCTTCCTGAGCCCATCTTTTGGTCCCCAGTCCCAGAAGCCCTCAGTTTTTCTTCTCAGGCCCAGAGCCAGGCCTTCAGTCCCATCTTCCTGAGGACACGTGCTGAGAAGTCCCCACTCCCCTCTGCTGCTCTCTGAGCCATGCCCACCCCCCACTTTGCCCTCCCACCACACAGGCACAATGCACACACAAAAACAAGATCTAGGACTTATGGCCAAAGTGGGGAGGCTGTTGGGGACAGCAGTTGAGGTGGAGTGGGTGGGGGTAGCCTTCCTCCAGCTGTGGGGACTTGAGGCCCAGACCTAAGCTCCTGGGGCTCCCTTGCACCCTATCTTCCCAGGCACCCAGGACTCAGGTCAGGAAGAACCGCTGCTGGAAGGTGAAGGCCAACCACGCTCAGGCTCAGGACAGCCTGGCTCGGCCCTGGAGCCTGGTTTCCACTCCAGGGACCTGGGTCCTTTTTAAGCCCAGTGTCAAACAGCTAAGATTTACCCAATTTAGCCTGACCCAAATAGTGGCCCGAGGCCCAGGGTTCTTTCTCTGAAATTCTGAAAATGAAATTCTGAAAAATGGTCTGAGCATCTGAGCATCTGAGCATCTGAGCCTCCAAGCACCAAACTATCTGAGGTCTAGAGATTTAAATATTCTGCTACCAAATACCTGTGAAACCGAATGTCCCCTGGTAGCCAAA